TCGCAACTTTATTAATTAAACCGGTTCATCACATCGGTAAATAAACACTGATTATATGAACTAAATTTACAGATATTATTGCTTTATGTACTGAAAATTTCGGGTGAAACACTTAAAAGACACATATTCGAGTAGCCTGCTCACAGCATTGAAGAAAATTTTGTTGAACAACCCCCTCATTTTACAAAACCAACTTGAATACTTAATGAGCCCCCTGGAATGCCGAAATCTCCACCGACCGAAAATCACTATTCGACTATACATAACTCGGCCGCGGGGACTGGATACGAAAAAGGAAGAACATCATGTAACGTCAAGAATAGTGTGCTGCCGAGCTGAGGCTTGGCAGCAATTAAAATATTCTTCCCCCAACACCAGAAATTTTATTCCCACTCTCCATAAAATTTGACGAGGGTTGTGGTTTTACATGGGTCCCAGGTTTTAGTTTGCATATGTACCTGCTTGTTCGTTGACGGATCGTATCATATTCCCTAATCAAATTATCAAGTCAGAAAACCATAACTCCCTCCTATACATTTCTGCCTGATGCTAGCTTCCTTGCATAACCCTAGTCGGCTAGTCTCAGTGCTGCTCATTGAAAAAGTTTTACACTTACAAGTTTTGCAGCATTTGTGTATCCATAGGCACCCGGCAAAATGTGTAAAAATCAGTGGTAAAAATGCATTGAAGTGCCTATGTCATTATTTGGGATTTAAAATATGTTTTATCTTTGGTCCATTTTATGAAGAAATGCAATATATCTTTATAAGAAAATATACCATCTTCATAGGATTATCATGAAGCCTTCGAAGTTACCGGATATGACATCAAAGTGGGAATTTTATACGCTAGAAACAAAATTTGCAATTCCCTGTTTGATGTCATATCCTGTAACATTGAGGCCTGATAATTCTGTGAAGATGGAATATTTTCTTTTAAAAATATATTGCATTTCTTCATAAAATATACCAATGATTACAAATAATAAATTACAGAAATCATGACATAGGCACTTTAAAACACTTAAAAATATGTATAATGTTTGTCTCAATTTGCTATGAAGCGATTTATTTGTGTAGCTCATTACACACTCAGATTCCGATGTCATTGTATTTTCATAATAAAGTTAGAAAAAATATCCAATTTTTTTCAGAAAGTGGGGATTTTTGTTGTTGTTTGAAGCGAACGTATTAGTGTGTCTGCATCTGCATTTTATCCCCTTTGTCCGCATCCACATTTTATCCTTTTTGTCCGCATCCGCCATTTTATCCGCATCCGCATTTTATCCCTTTTGTCCGCATCTGCATTTTAACCTTTTTGTCCGCATCCGCATTTTAACCTTTTTGTCCACATCCACATTTTATCCTTTTTGTCCGCGTTTTATCCCAACCCAACATATTGCATGGTATATATAGTATACAGCTAATTCAGAAAAGGTTGTCCTTCAAAAATTTCAAACCTTAAACTCTTGCATGGGCAAATAATGGCATGGGCAAATAATCCAAAGTTTTTTTGTCTGTACCAAAAGCATACAGTTTTTTTAAACCCCAAATAATGCACTAGTGTGAATTGAAATCCTGACCTCAGGAATATGCAGGAATTTCAACATTTCACAACTGATCACAACCTTCCAGTCTGCCCAGTGTGGATATACACTCAGAGTATATTAACCTGAGTACATAACAAGAAAACAGACACAAAAATACATGTATCTTGTTCTTTATGTCATGTGTTCAACTGGGCATCAAAGTGGTGACATTTGTTATTAACTTGTATCTCCCCTGCAAAGGTAGAGCACTGGCTCTCAATTGACTAGTACTTAACTAGAAAATACATGCATGCAGAAACCCTCGCCTTTTTGACAAAACCATTGTATTTTTGAACATGAAGTATCTAAAGTAGTTGTCATGGTAACACGATAATTTAAAAATATTCTTACAAATGAAAAATTGCCTAAAAATATCACTTTTAATTACAAAATTATTAATTTCCCAACATATATATGTTAGGTATGTTATTATACGTAATATAAGCCTCAATTTAAGGTAAAATTCAACCACAAACGCTTCGCAAAACGTTTTAAGGGAGTGGTCATTATTTATGGGGAGGGGGTTGGGGGTTGGGAAATGGGGAAAATAAGGATTGAAAACCCCGCAGATTTGACCCCCCCCCAGACTGAAGGCAAACTTTTTGTGCCTCCCCCCTCATAAAAGTAGAAACTTTTCTGACCCCCCCCAGTGTGGATTGAAAAATTAACAGCAATGAAACAGGTGTGCGTTGCAGGTAAAGTTAGATATTAGGACAATCTGTTTAATCTAGCTCATGATGTTTTACCCTGGTGAATATGATTCAACCATATATGATTAAAAAATATATATTATGTGTTACTACTTTGCAATGCAACATTTGTCCTACCATAACCCTAACCCATGACCCGTCTTCATACAGCGAAATGATTTGAACACAGGTTTTTTTTAAGAACTTGTCTGGGGGGTGGGCATCTACAAAAAGGGACCATACTATATTGAGTGTGGAGAGATGACAGATTATGATGGTCTTCTGTACACTAGGAAGCTAGCTAGCTAGGTCACCCACATACAAATCAAATTTACTTCATCCAAAAAGCAGCGGGCAAAGTAAAAATTGGGCTTGTTAACATATACCGAGTACTTTGCAAATTGATTCTGTCAATATTTCTTCTATAATCGTAAACAGCTTATATATTTACACCGTCAGTTGATGGAACAGACACGTGGTGTCAAGGCTACACAGCCCACAGGGGACAGTTACCCGCCCAGGGACAATTTAAAGTAGTGGGTACAGGAAGATTGCATTCAAATTGTACCTACATAGAACTTCACAGCAACACTTTAATACAACAACCTTAAATTCTGTAAAGCTTTTTGTGGTATACCTTGCCACAGCAAGTGGCACAGTTGCTAGCAGAGGAATACACAGCCTTCTGGAAGCCAGGGGCGGATCCAGACCGATGCCAACGATGCGAATGCATCGGTCAAAATTGAGCAATCATGTTGCTTGAAATAATATATAGACATATTATGCTGTCGTCAATACTTGGTCAAGCACTCAGTAATAGAATATCTTTGAATCTCCCCAGCTATCAAACCGCAAATATTTGCTTAAATTTGACTCCATGTCAGGAATACAATATTTAGGATGAAATCCAATTTAAATAGTCTCAATAACAGTCGAAATTGTAAAAATAAGTCCAATATGCGACGTGCGATTGCAAATGTGTACTTTTTGTTATTTACTTTTTATTTTGTGACACTTAAGCGTCAATAATTTCGCAACAAAATATGATATTTTTTACCGCATCCTTTGACGTCACAGTAGAAAAGCTGATGCATCACCCATGTCACGGTAGATTTGGTTTGCATCGATTTTCAGCCATTTTGCATCAGTGAATGCATCGGTCCAGAGTCCTTTTCCGCATGAAATCTACTGTGACATCATCAAATCTATTGTTTTAGAGCCCTACGTCACGGTAGATTTGTCTGCTGAGCGATGCATCGCATGCAGATTGCGGGCGCTCGCATCGGTTCACTGATGCAAATTGCAAAATCAAAATCTACTGTGACGTAACGAGGCATTCGATTCAAGTCATGGATGGCGGCAAGGAGATGCAAACACTATATGCAAATGAGACAAATAATGGGAAGAAATATCTCTCGAAATTGACGGAGAAAACGGAGAACAAATTACCGAATTAAGAGCGGTTGTCTGTAATAGTCAGGTAAGATGTGTAAAATGAGAAAATTAAAAATCCTTCAAACTTTGTCAGAATGTTGGCCTATATGAAGTATTAATGTTGTGAAAGTTTTACTTAGATCGGATAAATATTTAAGGAGAGAGACGTCAAAATCGGTTTTCCCAGGCCACTTTCGGTTTTTAGAGGTCATTTTACGGCACCAGCAAAATCGCTCTATTTTGCACGATAGTGGGAATATTTCACAAAACATGATTTCGTTTTATAAACTAGAGTTCTTTATTGATTAGCAGACGAAATTTAGAGACATTTCTGTAAAAAGCCATAATATTAAGGGGCTTCGGTGGCCAAGTGGTTAGCGCACTTGCCTTTCACCTCTGAGGCTGCAGGTTCGAGTCTCACTAAGTACCTTCTCAATGCGGCTCGAACCCAGTCCTCATGTGAAAAGAGTAAAAGTCAACGCTCTGCCGAAAGCCGTGGGTTTTTCCCGGGTACTCCGGTTTCCTCCCACAGGGAAAGTTGACAGGGTGGGTTAGGTAAAAAGGGCCCACAGTAATTGGCATATGCTGTTGTGGTGACCCTGCCCTAGTTGGCAAAGCTAAATAAATAAATAAATATTGCATTTGCCACCAAATCTAACCCTTAATGTAACCCTAACCAATCCCAACCTTAAAACTAAGTTCTTGCACTTCACTTGGTGGAATTAATATAGGATGTTAGGGTTTTTATTCCAAAGTGAGAATATATACATTTTAAGACCTAGCTAATGTATATATTCTCACTTGGATTACAAACCCAAATATCCTAACCTTAAAACTAACCTTATCCTTTCCCAAAAGCTATCCCTAAAACTAATCCTAACCCTACCCGAGACGCTGGCAAATTGACAGTTATGAAACGATAGTTGCCAAATGACCGGATACTGGTAAACACAGCGACATTTGAAAAAACATTGAAAATGTCAAATGCTCCTTAGCCAGCATGGCCGGCTCTTTTATAGGTAGAGCCTGCTCGAAAGCTCTAGTCAAATTGATCACTCTCGGCAGCCAGCCGCCGAGAATTGTGATTGGCTGAATTTACTTTGACGACAGTTCGATTGACATGTTACACTAATTTATTCAAATATAGTAAAAACAAACGGCATCGCTATATTAAAGTTGTAAACCTGTCGGCTAAATTTGACTAGGGCTTTCGGGCAGGCTGTACTTATAAATAAGCCGGCCACACTGGCTAAATCCTCCTGTGTTTGCCTGCCCTCCCAGGGGTAAGTTCAATTTTCCTGTAAAATACAAATAGACACTTTAGTTCATTTCTAGCACAGTATTGTATAATAAAACTTTTTAAAACCACCAAATATATATTTTTAAAATGTGCTTACTAGTCTTCCCCCTTTCCTGTTAAGATTTAAAGTTTTGAAAATATTTACAAATCAATGACATCAACTAGTTATCAGTAGGTACAGTGCACTTAGGGTGATATTTTCCATTATGCTTTACAAGATGTGCACAACAAGTTGTACTTTTGCAATTATTACATTCAGCAGTGCATGTTTTTATTGTGTGTCCTATATTGTTGCAATTAGAACAAGTATATTTAATTTTAACCCTAGCACAGCCAGCTGCCTCCAAATACTGTACTCTGTTCTTTTTGAGTAAAATCTGTTCAAGTGCAGAAACACCCCTGTGGTTACTTGATCGAAAAAAATTCTTAGAAGTAATGTCATTATATTTTTCCATGCCCTGTTGTGTAAAACATTCGAGGTTGGTGTATAAGCTCAGGAACTCGGGCACATGCGCATAAAGTGCATGTATGTAGGGTGTCACATCTTTTGCTTGATAAACTGTTAGATAGAGTTCTAGCCAGGAGGTGATTTTTTTTTTGACAACTTCCACATCATCTGAATTAAAATCATGCTTCAAATCCTGTCTAATTTTCCAAAAGTCATCCCAAACTTTCTGGATTGTCTCTTTATCTTCTGAGTTCGGCAATAGAAAAGAAATGTTTATGTTTTGAAAAAGTTTTACCTTCTCTGGCCCTGTCAAGTCACGGTATTCCAACTGTTTTGTTTCTTTTCCAACATACCAAGAAAATGGGATACCTAACTCCTGCAAGAATGTCTCATACCTTGACATGTTCCTGTACTTTTCTCTGCAGAAGCCATCAGAATACTTGGTTTTCTTTTCAATGGAGTCACAAACTTTGAGCTCTCTTATCAAATGTCCAATGAGATTATCAGAAACTCTTAGGAAGAGATGAAGTGTATCAATTACCACATGGCTAAGAGGAATGAAAGGGAAAATGGGTTTGGACTTACAATTAAATTTCCTAGATCTGGCATATTGCTCAATTTCATTTACTGTCCGGGCACCATTGTCGGGATCCAAAATTGACCAGTGTTTGGTTGTGTCACACCGGTCTAGTCGAGCACATTTGCACCATATACATGCATAATCAGCATTCACAGCCCCAATTCCGCAAACACAAGCAAGAAACTTCCAATCCCCCCCAAGAAAATATTCAAAATAAAATGTTTCATTGTCAACAGATATATCTTTTAAATCCTGCATTTCCTTAACTATATCTGATAGACTTTCAGCCAATGTATCATAACTTTCTGTTGTTCTAAGTACTGCCAATATGTAGTTGCCCCTT